AGACGAACTTGATTTGACACTATTATGTCACAGCACGTGATTGCAGCCCACTGGCCGTTTAAATACTCTTAAATTCAAATTCCTTTATTATATAAAATTAGCCTCATAAAATTATCCCAATTTAAAAACTAGATTAAAATGAAAATATGAAGATGGAAATGTATTGTAGTTTATGTTTTAAAACTGTATAGCTTTAAACCGCATTGCATTCAGATCATCCAAACATTGGCCATCGTAGAAGATTGACGACGAAATTATGTTGTGCTTTTGACGCTTGGCGCCTGTTGCACGCTGCGACTCCACAATTTTACGCGTTCAACAATCAAACCATTGTCTTTGAATGACGCTTACTGATACTTATGAGCTCACAGCCCAGCGGGGTTGTCTTATTATATTAAGATGCTGCTGTTAAGATATGTGCGAGTATATGACACTGAGTGGACCATTTGCGTAGAGATTATTAGATTAATAATTAGCATATATTTCTCCACTAACATAATAATTTAATTGGGTAATAAACATACTTAATCATCGTAGGATCTGTTGTCAATAAAAGCTGTCTTCGATTCGCCATTTCTCTGCTCGTTTCGGCTCTCTTGTCAAAAAAATTACATGCAAAAGCAACAAAAAATCTAGCGAGTTAAATTCGTACAAGAGATCATGCGGATATCTCATTAAAGTGGTAAAGCCGCTATCTTCAGTACTACCAAGTTTGATTTTGCATATTTAAGATCAGTTTTACTATTGCGAATGGGTCAAATGACTAATGAAAATACAAATTTCTTTTTTTTCTTGTATTTTTAAAAGTTTTAGAAAACAAAAATATGTAAAGGGTTACAGCAACACTATTGCGCATGCGTATGAAGGCATATTAACGCAGGGTGCTGCCCGCTTGTTTGCGCATTTGGTATAGTTTGTTCGATTCAGTGGATGGTAACGCTTGGCGAATCGAAGACAGCTAATATTTTTAAGCGACCTTTTAAATATAGTAATTTGCTCTTATAAGCTGTTATGGAATTTTTTCTTACTAAAAGATATATATATATATATTCAAGCATACCTGATTTGCAACGGCACAATACAACAATACAAAAACATCAAAGACATGAGCACAAATATCTAAATCGGAAATTGAATCTCGCCTAAAAATGGAATTTAACCTACGAACTTTCTCAATAAACATAGTAATGCACACAAAGGTGTATCAGCAGACACCCTGTTGCAACAGTTGAAACAGATGTACATATGTATGTATGTATATGAAGTAGCAACAACAATAGAAAACAATGCCTTAAACATTACGCAAAAATAAAGCGAACAACATAGGTAAATACACACGAGTTGAACAACATTATTCAGCGCACAAACACATACACAAACAAGCAAATACGGACTCACACCAGTACTCCGCCTTTGGTTAGAGAACTCGCACACACACACCAACTCGCAAGCATACCGAAACTGAACTCTCGGCAACAATCCGCAGACACATGTAAACGAAATCGAGCGGGCGAGTGCACAGCAAACATAACAGATTAGTTACCATATCCCATATCAGGGTAATTATTGTTAAATGAGATAACGATCTTGTAGTCTGGTGACATTTATTTATTTTCCTTAATTTTGCTGTATTAATCTTCTTGGAAGCACATTCACAGCATTCGAATGTTCGAATGGCGGAGCAGGCCAATGTGCGCTATCAGAATGTGAGCAACACCACTCTTTCGCACATACACACACACACACACACATGCGTTCACACGTTCGTTGTTGGATTGAGTAGACAGTTGCGCACATCGATCCAACCTGCAGCAATCTAGCGAACGGTAATGACAAACAGCACCTACAACAAACACATATGCAACAATATTGACTACAACCCGGTTAGAGGTAAGTTGGGCGCGCGCGTGATCAACGACGATCAACACCAGCAACAACACATTTGTGTTCGCATTATATTTGGCCATCAACATGTTCATAAAATGTCGTCGTCGTCGTCAACATCGTTGTTGTTGTTTTCGTTTTGCTTTTGTTGTTGTTCTTGCCTGTGGTGTAGGTGCGCTTGTTTATAGCCGCTTATTGTGGTCATTAGCTGCACGCTCACTTGTGCGTTTACACATTTGTGGTTGTTGTTATTGCAGTTGCGCCGGCGCATGTCCTTTCCGCATGCTACGGCTTTTACTCAACTCTCTCGCTGGTGTACGTTGCACGATATGCACAGTATTGAACTTGATTACAAATTCCCCGGTCCACTGTCAATATTTCTTAATTTCGCACTCGATCTGTGGCATGCAACATGCAAACATCGTCATTCATACACGCTCATATGGTTGTTGCACTTTTATTGCTGCATGTTGACAACAACTATTAAGTATTAAGTTTTTGTCATGTGCGTCAGAAACTGAAGTAAAACAATCGCTCCGAATTCTCCAGTCAGTACTTCCGCAGCCACAATCGCTGGTTTCGAGCTTTTCTTTACATTTTTTGTGGTGCAGCTTTCAGGCGATCAATCGATCGATCGTCAAGATGATTTTGCACGTTTTTCCCTCTGACTTCTATATGAAGTGAGCTGTGCTCGCCATTTGTGCGTGTGGTGAGTTTCACTTTGAATATTCGAAGTTTTTTGTGTTGTTGTTCGTCATTAAATAAGTTGATTGACTCACGTTAACCCTGGAGGCTTTTGCCATAAACGTTAGCTCTGTACACATACTCACGAAACCATGACAAGTTCGGATTAGCAGGATTAAAAAATAAGTATATAGGCTATGTATGTACATTGTAATAAAATAATACGGTGAATTTGTTTTAAAATGTAAATTCTTTATTAATCCTTCCAAATCAATTTCATCCTCTTCAAAATAATCCCCGTCCGATAAAACGCACTTTTGCCAAAGTTTTCTCCGTCCATCGAAACAGTCGGAATAGTTTCCAGATTTTCGAAAAAGGTGTTAATTGAAATTATTCTCCATAACTTAACTCTGAATGCCACACTACTATAGTCATCTACTTCTGGTCCCGAAATCGTTATTCTTATAATATTTTATAATCCTACATTGTCGAGAATGTTATATAACTGTACATTTGTCCGAATCGCCTACGGCAGTATTATTCTGAGATGTTGGACATAAGATTAGAACTCGACTGCTATCTAGATGAGAGGAACTATTTGCCCCAAGCAAACGAGTATAAAAATCAGATCCAATAGCGCTCAGTCCCCATGTAGTATAATTATGAAGCATAAATGCCTTAATCACCTTATATACGTATATAATTTGTAAACGCTTATCAATTACAGTTGTCTATTAATTAATGCACTTAATGAAAAACGAGCAGACAAGCCATGAGCAACCAATGGTTATAATTAAAAACGTAGCAAACAAAAACAAAAAAAGAGCAGTCTACAAAGCTACTGAGACTCGTTCGAAGGCTTGGCTGCGATCACAAACAAGCCAGCGTTTGGTACCTCCGCTCATGGGCGGCTGCGGGCTTTGTGTAATGAGTGCGGAGAGCGGTTGGTAATAAGCGTGCAGCTGTTCGCTTTCATTCCAAACAAGGTGTAGCAAGTTGGAGAAAACGCTGACACATGCTACGTATGTATGTATGTAGGTGTGTACGAATATTTCCAAACGCTTGGAAGCGTTGATGAGGCAATGTAAACAAAACCCAATTAAATAACTAACCCACTTGCTCGAGCTATCTGCAATGCAAACAACAATAACAATAAGAATGAGTTGGGCTTTGCTCACAATAAGAGTAATAAGAGATGAAGAATGCAATCTTAAAGTGAAAATAGGTATGCAGATGAAGGAAAGTTCTTAGAGTCATACAGGGCGTGATTATTAGAGCAGACTAATTTAGCTAAATGGGATTACACAACTTTTTTCGACCATAAAGAGATAAATCTCGACACAGGGTTAGTTTCTGGGAACTGGTTCGTTGAGTTTGCCGCTCCTGGCTCTACACATCCTCCACGTAAAACTCCATACCGCTATTTTGTTCTGGAGAAAAGAAAGCATTGATCGCAGAGCGTTGATTTGAATAAATACACTAGTGAAGGGACCTTGCCTAGCCCAAGCAAATTCAATTCTCATTTATTTCGTATGTGTGCCCTCACATAAACATGAGCGCTGTTAATTGCTTAAAGCTCACTATAACAACATTCGAGCGACAGCGGCAAAGCGCAAAAGTAAATGAACACTTATAAAATCAACTTAAATGACGGCTACTTCGAGTATTGCAATCAATAAATTATCACACAGTGACAATAATATTTAAAAGCTGCTTGTTTTCACTTAATCATCATAATAATTTCATGATTTCTCGCCACACTTAATGTAGCGTTTAATTTATTAGAATAGCAATGCGGCGGATCAAATGTCACAGCAAGAGAGCTTGCTGAACGTTTAGTTGCGAGCACAACACAAACAAAGCAACATCTACGGAAGGAATAAATTCGGGTAGAACCGGACTGAAGGTGACTGCTATGAGTATTATAAATTCGCTTCTCCAACAGCATCGCATTTTTGCAGCATTTTTCTGAATTCAATTGAAATTTACTCATATACGCATTATACGTGGAAGTGGATATGGTTCGTTCAATAATAACTAACTCCACGACAGTCGTGTCTACGTAATTGGAGCGGACCCAGAATATTATTCGGCCAAGGACTCTCAAGTCGGCAGCATTCCTCCAAATTACTTTAGAGATGCTTTTTGCCGCTACAACAACAACAACAATAGGGGAGTACCAATCTTTGTGAAGATATTTCAATGTGTCCTCAACTTATCGTTTATCGACGTGGAGAACTCCGAACGCAATCAATTCGTTTCCTTATTCCGAAGTGTAATCACTTGCATTACCTACTAGATGTTCGAGCGGATCCACTTCTTCGTGACGTGCGCCTTTATTTTGCCCAGTAAATAATATGGATGTCTATATTGTACTCTCCAATAAAAATCGAATCTTCACGCATTATATATACAAGTATAATGAAAGACAATTTTATAATGATTTTCTAGTTGTTTGGTTTTTTATTTCTTAACTCTTTTCTCTCTCTGCATTATCAATTACCGTACTTAAAACTATTTAATAATATACAAACTACTGCTTTCTACACTTAGATGCGATACCAATTAAGACTTTTGTTATTAAAATCATAAACAAATAAAATTAAATAAATAAAGTTTTCAAGTACAATAATGCTCCGCCCTTTAAGAAGTACATAAGTAGTAAGTACATTTTTGTTTCATCGTCATTTAAGCGAGCGATCATTTTGTTGCGAAAAGTTTGAACGTGACAAATCTTACAAATCTGACATCTCTCATAAATTTGGCACGTCCTGGAGAAGGTAGCTACCATCGCACTGATCCCATATTTAATTTGATTTTATTATTAGTTCGATGGTGGGCCTTATTAATACTTGGAGTCATTGAATATTTCTATTTTGATTCAAATACATACACATACGTATGTGCATTCGCTTGTCAGGTTTCTTAAAAGCGACATATAGTTTGTACAAACACTTTTCACTAACTATCAGTATTTATACCTGTTATTTAATGGCGTTAATTAAGTTTCATCATTTGCCTAAAATCATACAATTTAAGTTTATATCACATAGTTTTCGTCGTTTGCCCGCAACGGTTTTGCCTGGCGCATACATACACTCACACACAAACGAATTCATGATTCTTCTGGTAATAAATTAAGGAACTCTCATATCCATGCATTCTGCTCGTAGCTCTTATGAACTCCCGCTATTTACACTCGTTTCGCTATTTCTTTTCGCCCGGAAGCCAAATGTCTTTCAATGGCTCGTGTCGAGCTCGTGCTCCTCGTCGCTCGGGCAATCATCCATTTCCATGTCTATCAGCTCATCATCGTCATCCTCATCACAGCTAGCCGGATTGCGGCTGCGATCGGAATGTGAGCCATCGCCTTTGTCGTCCTCTTGTTGCATGCGCTTATGTTTGGTGCGGCGGTTCTGGAACCACACTTTAACTTGTGTCTCGGATAGATTGAGAGATTGGGCGAGCGCCTTGCGTTCAGCGCCAACGACGTACTGGTTGCTCTCGAATGCGTGCTCGAGCTTCAGTAGCTGCGAGGGCGAAAATGCGGTGCGTATGCGTTTTGGTTTACGAAAAGGTTGGAGCAAGAAATCTAAATTGGGGAAAAGAACAATAGAAAAGGGGTATTAGTACATTTCTTCTGAAGTAAGTAGGTATATTGAGGATAGAGAAAATGTATTGAATTTAAATACAAGTTGCAAATACTTACTTCCTGGAAAGCGGTGTGGAAATATGCGGCCATGTCGGCTCAATAGCCATGGATACAGTGGATAGCTGTCGCGCGGCATGCCAGGACTAGTCATGAATGGCGCGGCGTGTGGAGGTAAGCCACCACCCAAAACGTGGCCAGCCTGAAGAGCGGCGGCCATTTGAAATTGTGCGGCGGCGATTAAGTGTGGATTATGCTGAGGAGGTAATTCTGGCGGCGGTGCATTGATATATGGCGGCAGCGCTTTTATATCGGGCATACCTTGCTGTGGAGGCTGTACAATACCGCTTGGTCCAATCACAGGAAATGGTCGCACCAAACCGGGAGCATGCGGCATTCCAGGCATAAGCATAGGGCCTGGGCCTGAACCCAGCGCAGTTGATGGTTTTGCGTATTGTGTCGTTGTCAGCTGAGGCGGAACTTGTTGTGTAGCTGTGGGCAACGAGGCAGGACTTCCAGGCAACATGGCAGGTGGGGATGAAGGATGCGATGACGAAGGTGAGACTGATTTGGGTGGTGTATGCGGTGGTGGAGGGTGTTGCTGATTAGGTTGCTGACGTTGGGCGGGATGTTGAGCTTGTTCACCGGCCGGCGGTAATGGTGAACGTTCACGTTTAAGGTGCAACATATGTGGAACAGCAGACCCATCTTCAGGCGATGAAAGGCGGGTTTGTGTCAGTGGCGGAGGACTGTAGGGGCTAGCAGAATGTATGCTCAAATTGGCAGCGGCGGCAGCGGCAGCTGAACTATGCAAGCGCTGAATAATATCTTGTATGTCCTGCCGCATGGGTGCGCTACTAATGGGCGATATTTGTTGTTGCTGCTGCTGTTGGTGATGTTGTAACAGTAGATGCTGCTGAAGGGCATGCTGCTGCGCGGGCGACAAATGCGGAGGCAAGTGTGTATGCATATTATGTGGGTGGGAGTGCTGTGTTAGCGGCAGCACCGACAAAACTGATGCGCTCGAGGCATGTGTAGCGCCAGCCGTGTGGGACGCAGCGGGTGGAGTCTGAGGTGGAGAGCTGGGTGCACTACGGGCATTTGTCGTGTTTGAAACATTTAGTTGCTCGCCAGAAAGCTCATTACTGCCGACGGCACTTTGTGTCGGCGACACTGCGGAATTATTGCCCACAATAGATTCGATGCTAAAGCCGATCTTCTGCTTTGGCGTAGGCATTAGAACGGCTGATGTGGGCAGCGGCGGAATCATTTTAGTCATAAATAAACGTTTTTTCGCGGCTACTGGAGAACCCAAACTAACACAAACTTAGCAGTTGGTGGTATCGAGGTCGCGATAATTTCCAAATTGTTTAAGGGCACAGTTTAAAACCAATTGTTTTTTATTTTTATCACTGCTATTGGCAAATGTGAGCCAATTTGTTTTTATTAAAAGTGATTTTATCTCACTTTTTCATTGGATAGTATCAACACTTCACTGTTTTATTTTATTTTTTTAGATGTTACTGCACATAACGCGCTGCTAATGTAAACACATGTCTTTTTAGGTAGACAATTACAATTGCACACAGTATTTTGTAATTCACGAAACCGTTCGAATCAGAAACATGTCTATTATAATTTTCGCTTCTGTTATTATTTTGCTACGACTCTTTTCAACGCGCACTTAAGGTGTTCACTCTACGACAGTCGCTGTCAGAATAATCCTCAACCGTGCACCGCTGCCGCACCAAGTGCCAGGGCATCACTCCACTCGAGCTCTTGGCCAGTGCGCGCTCTCTCACAATGCCTTGTTTTTTCTCTTCCAACACACACACAGCCAGCAGTCCAAACACACGCACTCATCAAATACGAAACCCACTGGCAAACCAGTACAACCGGTTAAGCATAAAAGGCACTCGCCTATTGCCAATGTGAGCAAGAAGGTAAATATTGACAAGCATGTGTTCAGATATATATCTTTAGATACGTTTGTGGCCATGTGCGTTTGAATTGCTTGTTCTTACTCGAGCGCAGCGAATGGCTTCGAGTGGGCAGTACCAAAGCAACCCCTGTGCCCATGCCTGCTTCACGGTTTACATAAGCGCAGTGGCAAGCCTGATTCCCAAGCCGTTGTGGATTTTATCTGACAGATACATTTTTATGTACACGACAGAGTAAGATATATCATAACACTATCCATTGCTCCTGCTCGCTCAATCAATATTTACCTTTTCGCATTCGCTGCGCTACCGTAAAGTGGCTATTCTATTTTCCCAACACTAGCCGGCTATTGGAGGGCGTTACCCAACTAAATATGCCGATTTTACGCTCGCAATCGCCGCTTTCTGTTTTCTGCATATGGCTTCCGTGTTGTTGCTGCCGCCGTTGGCCATTACTGCTATTGCGCTAATGTATAAGAGTAGCAAGCAGCGGGCAGGCGGCAAATGACAGAAAATTGCCATTGTGCAGTATATTGCTTGCTGTAATTGTTGTAATACACATTGTATACATATGCGTTGTTAACCTAATACGCTTGCAGTTTTTGCTGCAGTTGGCGCAGTGCTCTCTATGTGTAATTTAGACTAAACATGCTTTTAGCTTCAGTCAACTACTCGAAGCTCTGCGCTCTGCATTTTCCACGACTACTTAGCAGCTGCAACAATCATTTTCTCATTTGTCGCAAAATAAGCAATTTTAATGACTTGCATATTCCGCTCCCTCACTCCCTCATAAGAACGGCTTTTGGCCAGCGCTCGCTCGCTCTCTTTCTGTCACTCGTTGAACATAAGTGCTTAAGCACATATACAGACGGCTGCTATGGTAGTTAGAGTTAATATCTTTATGTGCTTTTGATAATTGCTAGCGTAAATGGAGAGGTCCTTCTGACAATTATTTTATGCTAACTCTTTTAGATGTCAATTCTAGTCGTTCTCTCCCTTTGGAAGCATAATTCTTTGCAAGTGTGATTGAATTTCGGGTTGAAACGGGTTTATTGCATTTGATTGGTTTTAATTTTAGCACACACAAATACATCTGCTCAGACCCTTTCTACCTTCACATATAAGGCGACTCTTGTCAGTCGGTAGCGTTCAGGAGATTTTTTCATAGCCATACACATCCCGCGCGTTGGCCTTTAAATTAAATGTATTTACCTTCTTTTGGAAGTAGTTTATGACGCTAAGAAATCTTTTAGTTTTCATTAAATTTTCCAATAATTGATAGGCACTTATTTTCATCTCATCAAAAAGTGGTTGGACAGTAGGGGCTTGAGTCTCGGAAATTTTTCTAACAGTATTCATCTAGCACACAGTCGCTGTTAATAGAATGGTTCACGCAATGAGGAATACGCTTTAATATCTTTCACTTTCCCTCTAGGGAGTGTTTAACAGGGTTATACCGACAGACTCAAATTTTAACCACAGTCGAACCTCTCTACAACGTAGTTTTTTATAACGAATTATTTGCCAGAACACTGTAATTTCATTAATATCTCAATATTTTCGCAAGAACGGGACTTTATCTAAAATTTGCTGATAAAAAACAATAACAGTCTAAAATCACCAGAACTTTTTACATCAGTTCTCAGTTTGAAATTGATGTTGAAGTTTATAACTAGTTAACATCCGATGCTTACCTATTATATATAATATGTTAAGTAAGATATAACATATGTAGTTTTGTGTCACATCCAGTGCCATTGCAGTAACTGCTTGGTACGAGTGGAGTATATATGTACATATAAGAATTCAAGATATTTTGATTGAGTTGAAATATTTTTACAGAACCCACTTTTATGTATTATAATTCAATCAAATTAACACAGTTTGGTCGATGTAATATGACGAACCGCTTTGGATTGGCTAAGAATATTCATAAGAAGCGTTAAAAGAATTATTTAAAATAGATTACGACGTTGGTTTAATATCAAAGCTCGCAATGTCGCTCAAAGTATTTTAAACATTCTTCTTTTTACAGTTATTGCCTTTACTATTAACAAATATTTTTAAAACTGTATTTTTAAAGGTCACACAAATTAAAATAATTATTTTCTTATTGTGAATTTTTTCTCTTTTTGCAAAAGTATTGCACAACAACAACCTTCTTAAGTTCAATTCAATACAATAGAGAGTTGCAGAATCTGCTGCCAATATATGGGACTTAAACCTGTTGAGCGATCGCTTCCTTCTAAGAATTGGGGAATCGATTGCAGCTTTTAATATACTTATATAAATCTAAACCAATTTATTATATTTATATATATATTATAATATATTTAAATTATTAAGCTCTTAAATCCGAAGTACAATAATGCTACGCCATTCATAAGCACTAGAGCACCACATATCAGATTTTGGGAGGTCCAAGGCTTGCTTCAAAAAATTCCATTCTATTTTATCAGTAATCGCTTTAATAAGCTTGAAAACACACTCATGCAACAATAACAACACAGATAATTTAATAATAATGTCAAATTAGCCCATAATACCCAGAATTAAAATCAACTAACGAGATTAAACTGGAATAGTTTGAAATAATCAAAACAATTTTGATAATTGATAATAAAAAATCATTTAAATTTAACAGAATTGTAGAGAACGTTGCTATTCATCCGAATTGTAGACATACTACGAATTGTATACACGTGTTATAACTAAAAGGTATATTTTGAATGAAACACGAAATATGAAATAAATTAAATGTTGATTTAAAAAAAGTTTACATTTTTACCATAACTAATTGCCCCACTTGTTGGTTGTCTGTCACACTATGCAAATAAATGGACCGTGATGTTGAGTGGATAGGGCCTACAACAACTAAAACTAAATATAAAAAATTAATTAAATTTAGTACATAAAACACATTTTCATTTACAACCCGCATAATCGTATATTTAAACCGACTCAGTTTATTTTTTCATAATATTAGGCAAAAACAAGTATGCCTTTGCGAAGAGTCTTGGGAGATGGATCAGACTACATGCAAGTTTTATTTATTTGATAATTAAGAGACACATCCGACTGCCTAATAGCTGGCAATAAATTTAATTGCCAGACCTCCAAGCCATCAGCCGTAAACGTGATCAGTCCAGAACCGGGCTTTGCGATGGGAGCCCGATAAGCACTATATTTGGACATTGGCAAACACAAGTATTAAGAACTAAAATTGTTTACTTCATTTATTTATTCACAGTTATAATTATGACCATGTGGCAGATCAATGTTCATTAATTATGATGATAACCGCCGATCAAAGCGAGTGAATGGCTTCGAGCTTCTAAACAAGTGCTATGGTATATGTAGGTCAATACGTGGTGACATGGGAGGAACGATTATGATTATACAATGGTAAATCGTTTTCAAATAAACATTAAATTAGCTCATTGGCTGCTAATTTTATTTCAGGCTGACAAGTGTGCTGTGTGCGTAGTTTGAAATGGTCATAACAGAAAGGCTACCTTCCTGTGACAGTACATATATATATATATATTTTTTAATATTTTTCAAAAGAAATCTTCGGTTTTTGTAGGGTTACTCGCTCAAGTCATGCTCTGTGGTTACTGTTTGCTTAAAATGATTGGAGTAGCCTCATTTCAACACACTTTTGCAACATTGATATCACATGAAAAAGACGCATGTACGTACGTATATATCTACACCCTTTAGTGAATATATTGGATACATATTTTCTTTTTATTGCTATTTATATAATGATGTATGGTACAAACATTTTCGCATCAGGTCTGGTCTCATTTCCTTCCAAAGATTAGAATTTATTTTGAGCAATGCGACTATTGTGTCCACTCTTTTCTAATTAATATGGCATTGCTCTCACGTTTTACATTCTATGATTTGCAGCGAAGAGTACACTTTCCAAATGGCACCGAACTCAATTTTATGACATTTACTTGCAAATTACTAACAACACTCATAAATCGCTCAAGTAGTAAGCACCCACATAATTTACTTGACACAAACATTCATATCTTAGATTAAACTAAATATTTTATTGAATGCTTCACCAAGGTGGCGCCTAGATGTGTCTATATAGAGCGAATATTAATTTTGCACCGCCATTGTCGTGTGCCCAAAACATACATATGTATGCGGAGTGGTGACTCTTAGAAATGACCATCTTAATTTTTACATTTGCCAATTTTAAATTTTTGAAAAAAAACCCGTACTTTCTTCGTGATTTATGTTAAAATTAGCATTGCCGCGTGACGAATGCGAAGCCAATGCACACATTTACTTATTGCCGACATTAATTTAGTTTACGCAGAATTTGGAGCAGGTAATCGGCACGTTATTATGCCGCCTGAATTTCTAATGAGAAGAGCTTCAATGAGGAAGCAAAATAAATAGTAAGGAAGCCCAAAGTCCAGTTGCAGCGGAACATTATTCAACCTCGCACGCACCACAAATACTCTTCAATGCCGGTCACGAGACACACGCCATGTGCAACTCTTTACTTAAGGCACGCAAACAGATTCACTTCAAAGTTCAATGCAGAAAGTAAATAGTTAATGTCCCTACACGAAGGTGCTCGACACCAAACTAATTATTCGACTATGTACAGATGCCGTATGGATCCATATGTAATGTACACCGTGGAGAGAAATATATGCTCAACGTATTGTTGGAATACCTCGGATCCATTTATCCGTGAATTATCGAGGTAACGAGGTAAACTTAGTGAGGAAGAAGACACAGCTATCCAAAAGTAACGCGTAAAAGTTTCAAAGTTCTAAAGAAGCTAAAGCTCTTGACTTGGGAAAGGTACATTAGCCTGCACACACCTGCATCTTTAACGTTGTATATTATATTCAGTTGCCTATAACGTGTGATTAAGAAGGATGATTTATTTTGAATTCAAAATATTTTCGTAGCTCACACAATTACTTGCTTTGACTAATTCTTTACAATTTATTTAACACTACAACTATAAATTGGTTATACATATGTACATACATACATATGTATGACGAATATGTAGTCAAGGATATTTGCCTCGACCCTAGTCCTTCTCATCAGTTTCGTCTTTCTGCCAATCGAATGAAGCATTCTGGACTCTGCTCCCGAGTCCTAATTACACTGAAGATTCCCGCCTACCAGAGAGTTTCCTCGTAATTGCAGATTCTCAATAAACTCTAAATAATGATGTAGAATAAAGAACGCAGCCAATACACTTACGACATTATTCCGATGAAATGACGTGCACACGCAATATCGCTCTTACTAAATGTACGTGCACACATACATCCATAAAGGTAGTATTAATAGCAAAACAATAAATAAATCTCCTCTGACAGTTTGTTCACTTCATCTTGTTACGTGAGTGTGTGAGTGCATGTGTTGGTGTGAGAGTACAGAGTCGGGCGATTGCACGC